TATATTATAGAACAAGAATTTGTCATGAAAGACTGGCATGCCGCACGCATGCGAGTCAAAATTCGTAAAAAAATCTTAGGAAATCTTAGGGAAATTTATCGCATTTCTTCGGAACGATAAGTACGAAGCACCCCTCCCCCCCCCTGTGCGCACAGGCGCCGTGGAAAATTTAAATATATTTAAATTAAACAACACTCTAAGATCGAAATAATTCCGCGCGTCGGGCGCGAGACTGAACTTAACGCGTGAAGAAACATTCGGTGTAGCGTGCGGCTCGTCGAGATACGGCGCGCTTTGCATAATCGGTGCGTGAGGCTTTCACCCATAGGGAAGGGTTAAACCCGGAAGGGCTTGCCGGCATTAACGAAGTTAACGTCTCGTCGAAGGGGTGAAAATGGCGAGACGTCGGGCTACCCTCGCGAAGAAAACCAAACCAAAGACGCTTCCGCATTGTCGCGCCGCGGCAGACGCTCGTCACACGTTCGGCGAGACGAGTCTCGGATATAACGAGTCGTCGATATAACAATTAAGGGAAAGTTCCTCGTTTCGCATAATTTGATCAATGAGGGCCACAGACGTGAAATGTATATCAAGTGTATGCACGAATAAACATTCCCACACAGCCCCAAAAGGCCGAAACGAGTACAACGGATGTAATTCAAGAGACGTTTCAATCGACCGGCGGCGCTCGTATTTCAATTTCCTCGATATCAATTGTCGTGGCGTTGCAACCGCACGTGCGATCCGTGTCGACAAGAATTTTACGCGGTGCACTCGGACACCCCTCGCGTGCCCGAAGCGCATTCGAGGGTTAAGCCGGCACGTACGATGCGCCGTTTCCGGCCGTTCTCGCCGCGACGAGCTACCCTTCTCTTAACGCGCGCCCCACAGACGCCTCGAAGACGGAATCATCGCGGGGTGTAAGCCGGGAACGAGAGGAGGAGGAGGAGGAGAGAGAGGGTTACATTTCGATTAAACTTCTCAGACGGAATCGGGAATTATCGCCGTCGCGTGACAGTCGCCGAGCATAATTCCAGCGCGTGCGACGCGACGCGACGCGTCCCGCGGGGGGCAATAAGCGGAATTTCCGTCGTTACGGCTGCCGTAATGGATCGAGTCGATGAGCGCTTACGACCGTTTTCGCGTAGAAGACGGCGCTCCCCCTGGTGCCCCCGGTCTCCCCCCCCTTCCCACCTAAAGGCTTCAAATTGTTCCCTGCCGCGTTCCGGACCGATTGTTGTAAATTGCGCGACTAACCGCGTGATTCGAACGTTACCGGTATCCGGTTCACGCGCCGTAAGTCGCTGATGGCGTTAGTCGCGAGGATATTAATAGAATCGGCGAGGAGCAGACGAGATCCTTCGCAACGTCACTTTCTCGTCAGCCGATGTCGCTGACGTGAGGTAACGCAACGCGGAGAATGTTACTCGAGACGTTTACGAAAACTCTCGCGCTCCTGGCGGATGCAAATTCGACGGAAAATTTCGAGCCATATCCCCAAAATGAGACGCTTCGACAAGTAGAATTTAAATTTCACCCATGATTCGACGTAAATTCTGCTTAGAGCTGAACGAGAGGGATCTCGGAAAAATCTAATTCGGCGAGAGGAGAGTTATAGCGATAAAGTTTCGGGTAACAAGAAACCCGCGCGCGATATTTCGCCACCATCGTTGGAGCTGGAAAATAACGTCACGCGTTCCATTTCCGAACGAATCGATAGATTGATAATACGTTTTCTAAACCGTGTAATTGCATTTTTAGTTACGCGAAAATTGCGATGCTGCATTGCGTGACGAGCTTTCGCGAGCGCGATTTGTTACAAGCGAGCATGAGAACCGTGTTGCACGGTCAAAAAAGCGATAGAAGAGAAGAGGGGAAAAAAATGTAAAAGAGGAAGATTGCCGAGGCATTAAATTCCGATTTTCGAGCTTATGCATCGAGTGGGCGCATTCGAGTTCTCGCGGACGTCTGGCGAGCGCGAGACACCGATCGATCGCATGAAGCATGATACGAATTTCATGAGCATTCCGTATGCACGCGGGAACTAATGTTTCCGCGGCTTTCTCTCGCCCCCGTCCTCCTATTTTCCCCGCGCATTTTTCCGATTCCACCGGGTACAAGCACCGGGAAATATGCTCATTTGCGTTTCACGCCGCTATGCAAACGCGCTATTTGTCCCGCGACTTAACTTACTTTTTCGCGCTCGCGAGCCCGAAGTTCCGTCGGAAATATTATTTCGACGCGATACTTAGCATAATGCCGCGATGGAAAATCATAAGCGCGGCTGATTAGCGCCATTTCTCAAGCGTTTTTACACTTTCGATAATTACGATAACTGCCCTTTTTGTCTTCTCGCTCGATATTTGTTTATTTTAGAGAGCTGATTTTTACTTTGTCGCTTGAAATATCGTTTTCAATAAATATGCGTCTTGCGATACTCAAAATTTGCATACGATCGATTAAGCTGTCATGAATTCAACGTAACTTTCATTCATTGCCTCACCTCGAATCGTTTTTAAACTATTTTTCTACATAAAATTCAAACTCTGAAATAAAAAGCTCTCTTTGGTTCTCTCAAGCCAAAGAAGGAATTAAACAAAGTTCAGCTATGGACGGATAAAGAATGAATGAACCGTGGAACGCACGGGCGTGAAAATTACGGTCCATCCCCGCGAAAGACATCGATATTTGTCGGCGTTCACGAGAGCCGATCCGGCGGGACATTTTGCACAAAAAAGGCAAGAGTCCCTAGTCGAAATTTCCGTACCCCTAATTTATGGAGCTAACCCCGTTCCCTTTTGTCGCGACCCCCTTCCCCGTGGCACGTTCTCCCGGGCGATAGTTCGTCGTCCTGCCCCCCTCGGGGATTAAAATAACGTCGTGCGTGCCGAATCGGCTACGAACGGAAATGAAAAGGCGGGCGAATTAAAAATTAACGATCCGGCATACGTCACGCTTCGCAGGAATCTGCAGGATTAAACGGGAGGGTGCTCGATAAAAAAACACACACACACACACGAGTCGAAAATTGAGAGGCTCGTGTGTGCAAAAGGGGATAATTGGAATTTTTTTAACGGTCTCCCCTCGTTCTTTCTCCCAGCAGTAAGAAGGAATACAACACGCGTCTTGTTATTCCCTACACCGCAATCTTCGATTCTGGCATGTATATACGCGGATCTTATTTATTATCTTTTACTGTAACAATAGAGAGTGTGTGTGCGTGTTTCTCATTTTTACGCACTACGTTTCAACGAAATATTTTACATTCGACGAGATACCGAGTGTCTTCGCGATCGACAAGAACCTCCAGTCACATTATTTAAATAAACTCTGCATAAATGTGCGAAATAAAAGCTGAGCTTATTCACTTAGCGGTAACGGCGGCTCTATTTAAGTGGCCACTGCGCCAGAAAATTAGCGGTGGCTAACTGCCTCCTACGAGCGACCTGGGCTCGCGGGACGTCGAAACCGACTTCTAGATTCCGCGAAATATGAAAATAAAAAAAATCGTCCAACACAGGAACGAATTTAACCGCGACTCGCGCGCGCGTGTCTTTGAAAAACGAGCACATTTCCGCGATTGGACGTGAAGTATCTTTGATCTTCCCGCGAAACTCGTTATAATTCTCCGCCTTGATAATTCGCTCGCGTCAAAGTTGCGAAAGGTAAAAGGAAGGAGGCGAACGCTGGGATATAAATGCAATATTTTTCAATGTCAGGATAGCACAAGCCGGGGTAACGTGTCGTCGTGAGGATTAGAAAAATTCAATCTCGCTGAAACTTGCATCAATCGCGATCTAACAATGTTGCCGATACAAATATACAAATATTAACAACGCACGTTTTGCGATGCGTTTCGTTGAAACGCAACGCGTGCGTATCGTTTACGACGCGCAGAGAACGTATCTTTTTAACGCGCCATTCATTCCCCCTCCCCCTCCCCCTCCGTTTACAGTACTAATATTTTACTTTAACGCTACTGCCGTTACCGTTATATTCCACCGACCGCTTTTATTAAAAAATCCTGCCATCGTATAAACACGCGATATACCGTCCGGACACTCTCGGCTCTCGCGATGGCAGGACCTCCTCCTCCTCCGTCCGATTCGCCGTCTCTTTCTCCCTCCTCCCTCCCGAGGGAGAGACGCTTGAATTCGGGTATTCGCGGGAAGGAGACTTTCATTGGAACGAGCCAGCCAACGGCCGTTACCGCGTCGGACTGCACATAGATATGTATATGCGTGCTCGAAGCGAGCAGAGAACGGAATGCGCATATGAAATTTACAGCCGCTATAGCGTAGGAAATGCGCCGTCGACCACCCCCCCCTGGCCTCCCGAGTCCCAACCCTCGAGCCTACCGCCGTCCGACATTTTCACAACCCCTCGTGTCTCGTCCCGTCGCGCCTTCACAGTTTCGTGGCGAGAGCCTCGAGCTTCTGATATACCGCCCGTTATCAAGGCTCGCGTATATTAAAGTTTCGCCGAAGATCAAGCGATGGCGAAAATTTGGGTAGAAAAATGAAAAAAGAAACAAGAGAAACTCGATTTTGTCACCCGTACGACTTGTGTCTGTTTCTCACGCGGTGACGATACTCGTATCGTCGACTAAATACATTCGCGGATCTTCTCTCGTAATCCTCTCATGTCAGCGTGTAAAATACATCAAGCAACGTGTGCAAAAGTATAATTAAATCGCATTAACTTTCTCAAGATCTTGTAAACACCCGTCACCATAAAAATGTCTTTTCTTGTCTGACTCACCGATACACAGCAGACAGAGTCAGCCACGTTCTGCTGCGGATCTGTAACAAAAAATATACTTTCGTTAGTTCAATTGTTAGGTTAAAAGTTAGGTTAGGTTGAGTTCCAGTTCGCGGAAGCGCGCGCGCAGATACAAACGTTGACTCTTTGCCATCGTAAATTCAACGGCTTTGATTCCCATCGCTCGGTTTTCGGTCGCAATGAATCAAGAAGAAACGATCGATGAACCTCACCTTCAAGCCGACTCCGCTCGGCCCGAACCGGATCCTCCGGTGCGCCATCGGCGTCCTGGTAACCGTAGCTATCGCGTGGCCGCAAACTCCAGCAGATCTGTAACAAAAAGCGAGTTTCCTCATTAGCATTACAGCGACAAATGCGCCTCGCATCAAGAATACGAAGACTCGAGACTACAAATTAGCTTCTTCATCCACGTAACCAAGTTAACCAATAAAAGTTTACCTTTAAAGACCATGAAACATTGCTATTGCTCAAGATGCTCCCCGGATCGTCACACACACACACACACACACACACACACACACACACACGCACGAATATTACACGCGCGCGTACACTGCGAAAATTCGGAAATTATTACACGCGGCGATCCGCCGATCCGTCCGCCGCCGCGGCGTAAACAATAATGGAGGCGGTCGCGGCAGTTGCGTACTTATGAACATGTTGTTTTCAAAGTCGCGCGACCTTGTCCCGCCGGGACGCGTCTCAGAGAGCCCGTAACGTTCATTCAATATATAGCTCTGAGCAGAGTTGTTATATTCCTTCTCTTACGCCAATCACAACGATTTTAGAAGTAAAAGAGAAACAGAGACAACGCGCACGCAGTCCCCAAAATATGCGTAGTTACGGGAACCACATCCAACTGCCGCGGAGGCGAACAAAAGACTTTTAAAGAGCCCATAACGTTGTACAAAACTTACCTTTTAAAGAAAAGAAAGGTAAAAAGAAGCGCCAAGTATTACGCGCAATACGTATTGTGTTATTTTTAGAAATTTCAAATTACTTTTTATATGTTATTATATACGTTATTATTCACTATATGTAATTATATATGTTATATATGTTATTATTTTTTCTCAAGTTATATATGTAACATAAAATTTTACAAGTAACAACTTATAACTATAATAAAACTCAACAACACTGTTCTGCTTTACAAAAGAAATGATATAACGCCAACTGAGAGACCTAACACACACCTAACATACACATACATATATATATATATATATATGATTATAATATAATTAATTCTTTATTCAAGAAAAACGGTAATGTTTACGCTTTTAGTACTGTGCATCGTACCGCACCTGTGGTGCGATTCTGTAACTCGTTATTGGTTAGTTAACGACAGTTTCGTTATTGTTGCGCAGCTTTTCTACGGTATAGAAAAGCTGCGCAACGATAACAAAAGTGTCGTTAACTCCAATAACGAGTTCGCAGAATCGCGGTACTGAGCGTGTATCTTTGGGCAATGTAATTTATTATTTTCGTTATACAAGTAATAAGTTTGTACAAGTAAAACTTATTACCTGTAACAATAAATTCTTCTATTGAATACCATAAGTAAAACTCTACAAAACTGTTCTACAAAAAAATAATATAACAAAACAATAGCATCAATTGAAAAACTCTACTCAACATCAACTCCGCAAATGAGAGCGATTTGCAATCTGAAGATAAATGTATCGAAAACTCCCAATGATACACAATCCGGTACTTAAAAAACAGTGTCTTCATTATTTACTAGAACACTGAGTTTTATGGTTATTTTACTTGTTATTATAATAAATTAGTTATTACAACAATGCAATAAAAAATATTTAATGCAAAAAATCTTGGCCTTTCTCTCTTTCTCTCTCTCTCTCTCTCTCTCTCTCTCTCTCTCTCTCTCTCTCGCTCTCTCGCTCTTTTTCTCTTTCTCTTTCACATTTCTACTCCTGTATTCCAGCAATATTCTTCTCCCTCTTATTTTCTATCGCTTACTCACTCGCACCCGCTGCTTCTTCAGCGCGCTCGTACCGTCTTTGGTGTCGGAAAAGTGAGATGCACAAATCCCCTCTCCTCCGCGGTCTAGCATTTCTTACTTTCTTACTGAATCGAAATTTTCCGTGATTCGGACTTTATCTTAAAATTGTCTCTACACTTAGAGACAACGTGCACAAAAAACACAAGGACACTTTTCTTCCTATTTTTTAAGGCCGAATTGATTGGGAGTGAAAAAACCTCGATCGGTTTAGCCATTGCTGAGACATGAATATCTCACCTCGTTTCAACTCGCAGTTTCGCGTAATACAGGCACTACCGTGCATACGTGATACGATATGAACTGGCTAAAGCGATATTACGTTTCATCAGAGATGTTCGCTAATGAAATTTCCGCGGAAAGCCGCCGTGTTACTGATACACATCCTTTTATCAAATCATCATGTATCGCGCTGGAGAGTTTCGCAGTAAAATTACTTCCGGAGAAGTTACGATGCCTCCGTATTTCCGTATTATTATTCTTATCTTTCATCCTCGGCACACGCGTAGTAGATAACCAGCAGAGATGCAGCATCTCGCTTGGAAACGCACATCAGTCGACTCGGGCGCTCGCGTGAAAGGGTAGATTTTCACGGAGCGCGGAGCGCGTTCGCGCGGCCAAGTTTCATCGCGATCGAATTATTCCCGGAGATTCGGAAATTCCCAGATTCGCATCCACTTATCGCAGCGCGATTATAATTAAAACCGGCGCTTGAGTCTACGGCCCGTTATTCCAAATACAAATAAAGAGCTTGCGCAAATATTCCCTTAGAACTTCCCGCTAACGAGATGGCCCCACTTAACACGGAATTATCTGATTGGGTAAACAGGCTGTTTACTCGGAGCGAGCATTTGCAACTGGCCTGTCTGCCTCGCATCTAATTACAATACGCGTCCCGTCACTCCGTGGATATACGCCGCTATTTCTTTCGCAGTCGCGTTTATATCATCCCGCGAGGTGGAAGCCGCGTCTCGCGACTTCCACCTCGCGGCGCCGTTCATCCCGGCAACCCCATTTCAGAAACGTTTCCACGCACGTTCACGTGCACAAGGCACCCGCATCTGGGAGGCGAGGCGTCACGAAAATGCCAGTTTTACAGGGAAACGCGACGTCGACGTAGTGCCGGCAGGTTGGTACGGCTCGCAAGCCGTACAAACGGCCGCATCCTGCCTACGTCCGGGAGGATAACTGATTTGAAATGCGAAATAGTGGCGAAACGCGCGCGGAGCAGTTCATCTCGCATCAGCATACCGCTGTGTATGAATGAATGCGAGCATCTATATTCTCCTATCATGGTGTGCGCAAGCCGGACCGAGCGTTACGTATATAACGAGGCAGCGATACAACATCGCGTCGCTCAAATTTAGACTGAGAAAACTGGGCGTGCTGGCGTGCCTAAATCTCACGTGAAGGCGCTCGAAAGTACCTATAAATACCTGCCTCTACCGGAGATGATGTACACTTAAATAAATACCCGATTCCCAGGCGGGGAAAAACTGAAAGGCTCTTACCGCGATATTTCCGAGAGAGAATCGTCAAAAGTCTAATCGCAGTTTTCACCGTGATACAAATACAAATTAAGTAATAAACTTCACGAGGTATCTTATTGCGGGTGTCAAAGTACACATACCGCGGGAGAAGTATCGATTAGGACGCGATACGGTGTTAATCCCAAGTGAACGTGAGGGCGGAGCGGGTTGCATTAACGAACAAAGAACGCGGGGAAAGTGGGAGTTTGAAGATTTCGCCGACGGGAAGGGAAGAGCACCTCAGCACCTCGTAACCCGCGAGAAAGTCAATTGACTCCCGAGGGATTGAGGGATTTACGGTAAAGACAAGCAGCGTCGTAAAAGCCGCGAGGCACGGCGATGTCGTAAAAGAAGAAGCTTAATATCCTTCGCGGGCGCTCCTGTAGGCGCGACTAGTGTACCGCCCTAAAGGCGTATTTACACGGTTCACTTTTGACGATCGCGCTGGGATGAGTCAACAAACGTAAGCAGACTCGCCCAAAAACTCGGCGTTTCCTCAGGCCGAGTCGAGTCTCAAAATCATGATTCAATTGTGAATTGGAAAATTCAAAAATCGTGGACAATGCGGGCCAGATATTGTGATAAATATCGCAAAGAATCAAATGGTCGGATGAAGGCATTGCAAGATAATGATAAACATTATGTTTCATCTCAACGAGTCCTCTTTCTCTCTCTCGTAAACGCTTGCGTGGACGAAAGCGAATTTGCAAATCAGAAATATTATTTGCGATGTAACTCTGTTCCGGGCATTAATTATTCATTTTTTATGCATTCCAGGTAAAACATATTCGGAATAAAATACTATTTGCTGACACCGCTCTCTCGTATGATTATTCAGAGCGCTCAAGAGCAGAACATATTTGTGCGACTCTCGTAAATCGTCGAGAATAGTAATAGCCTCTCTTTGGCGGGGATTTTGTGTACACTTTTGACTTGGACAAATTATTCGGTGCTCTCATCAGCCAGAGCGAGCAGTATGGATCCACCTTAAATCTCGAGTCCTCCGTTCGCGAGCGAGGAGGATTCGTACCTTCGGGCGAGTGATAGACAAAGCGGAAAGTAAGGCAGGCGAAAAATCAATTTCCCGCGCCCCCGATGGAATGCGAAAGCGAGTTGCCGTGCATAAAATATCGACGCTGATAAAAGGAACACGGTAAGGGCAGTTTCTTGTACATGCCGCGCAAACATCGACTGAATATCGGTGACAGAGACTAAAAGGCTAAGAAAGTACGGTACTCGGGACAATTTTCCGCTCGCGATAAAACAAGCTCTGCGCAAGAATTTTGTACAGTGTAAATGTGAAAGAGTATCTCTATTTCTTCTACGGAATATCTAAATCTAATGTTCACTATGACTCTTATAATGCGACACTGCTTAATCGAACGAATTATAACGAATCATCATGTTGTCTCGTGATGATTCGTTAGTTGTTTCTGCGAGCATCAATGGGGAGTCAGAAAATTGTTCTTGCAAAAAGTATAAATTCACGGAAGCGAGCGCTCGAGTATCGTAACTAAAATATCGAGACACGAAGGAAGCATCTTCCTTTGTAAACGTGGCATATATTATAGACACGTAGACTTAATACTTATGAATAAAAGCGAGCACTCACAGAAGCAATATGTACAAAGTATTCAAATGATATAAAAATTTCACGATTCGCGAGTAAAACCGGACGCAGAGTCGTAGAGTTGAAATAAAAATCCTGTACTCCGTGTTCTCCGAAATAAAAACCGTTTTCTAAGTGTCACCATTAC